ATCATCATCCTCACGATCATTTAATGTATCATAATTCGCTGAATTGAAATGAATGCACTAATACATGTAGTTTATTCCACGTGAGTTAACTACAAAAATAATCGGTTTGTTTTTATATCACATCCGACCGGAGGAAAATGCAGCACGGCTCTCACTACCGATAATCCTAATCCCACGGGCAAACAATAATATGTACAGTGTTAATAGTTTACTGTATTATTAGTGTATAATATTACTGCTATAACAATCACACATTGAGTTGTTAAAATCAGACCGTCTTTTTTTTTTAAACAGTCTGAATGAAACGGCAGCTCTCAGGTGATCATATATCATCAACTGCTCTGCTCACTCCTTTCCTGTAAATTAACCTATACAGGTCCAGCCCACACATATGACAGCGCAGTTGCTCCATCATTCCATCTCTTCTTTTTCCTAAGAGTACTGATATGTCTACCTTTTCTTTTATGAGTGTAATATCTGCATTTTCTCTTTTGAAAAACTAAGTCTAAAGGCCCGGACACACCAGTCCGATTTTGGGAGTCAGAGGCCGTCAGAGGCCGTCAGAGGCAGTCGGGCATTCGCGGCGCCCTACTCAGGTTTGTGTGTCCCGCACCGTCGTCTCTTTACGGCACCTTTTCACACTTTCCGACGCCTCCCGCGGCCGATTCAACATGTTGAATCGGCCGCGGGAGGCGTCGGGAAAGTCGGGACAAGCAATCACTCTGATTGAGGTACGCTCCTGGAAGAATTAACTGACAAGGGTCAACTTAATGACGAAATCGCGGTCCATTCAAAAGTCTACGAAAACAGACTGCGCGGTTGACATGTGATATGCTGCCAATCTTCCTGCATGAGGTGGAAAAGAGCTATTTTAAGTGTTTAATGGAACAGACCCATGGAGATGAAACCTTTAGACAGTTCGCGCACTTGTAAATATGTGGCTAATTATTTGTACAGACAGTTCACTGATTTGTAATGTATATTTGTTTTTACAGACAGTTGTGGCAAACGTTTTATTGTATTGCACACTAATTACTATTTTTATCGTTTTGTATTGGCTGTACACTGTACATAATAAATAAACCACTTTTTACCGCTACTGCAAAATGCAAAACTTTATTTCGTACCTTCCTACTACAGCCATTAGAGAATGAGGATACAATTAGCTATACTACAATAAAAGTCAGATACATCATGATATGTACATGATGATACATCATTTGCCTGTCAGTGTTATTTATATATATATCATTGATTATAATTACTGATGCATGATCATTGTTCATTTACCTATTGTGAGCATCACATGGAAATGTACATTTGCAAGACTGTTTCTGCCCCCTCTATTCACATGTAACCTTTCATACGTGATGGTTTCTTCATTCTCAAACTGTTGTGGAGCAGAAGTATACAGTTGCAGGATTAGTCTCAAGTACCTCAAGATTGTCCTTAAGTACAGTGCCTAAGTAAATGAGCTACTGTCTACCACTGTTCATTGTTCATTTACCTATTGTGAGCGTCACATGGAAATGTAAATTTTGCAAGAAGTGTCCATTATTCAGATGGGTGTTTCTGTCTGCCCCTCTATTCTTTCTCCCATTATCCTCCACAATCTGCCTAGAAGTATTTCAACGTTGTAGCTGTTCAAGATGGTCATTTTAAAATGTGTTAAAAATATACTGTTAGTAGTTAAACCAATAATAATGTGCGGCTGCTACTGGCAGTTATAGGCACATTTTTTATTTTTTATTAACGCTGTGTGATTAAAAGAATAAACACAAATAGCAGGATAGGCAATACAAAACTTTATTTCGTACCTTGATACTACAGCCATTGATAACACAGCATTAGACATATTTGGCAAACTCTTTTTTTTATTGTATTACACACTATTTTTATCGTATTGTAGTCGATTGTTGACATTGTACAGTTCTTTAGACATATTTGCTATATCTTATCCCACTGAAAAGGCACTGCACCGACACCGTTAAAATATTGGCATAGTTCATCCCTGTGCTGCTTGGCTCGAGCTGGATTATTGGTGGTGTGTGGCAGGGTGGCCTGCCGTAGTTCAGGGTCTTGTCTCCATCTTCCTGGGACAGTGCCATGACATGTTTTCGATCGACGAGAGAGAGTGAAAATGGAACCCAGACGCTGTGTTTGTTTGTTTATATCACTCAGTCTGTTCTTCTTCTCTTGGTGTATAAAAGGCAGTCTGTCTTCCGGTTGTTGCCTCTTTTCATTTCATTTCATTTCAAACCTTTATTTAACCAGATTGGTCCCATTAGGCGCGTTCACACCAAGTACTTTGCCGTATTTAGTGCCGGCACTTATTACCCCAGGGCATTTAGTACAGATCGCGTTCACACCTGAGGGAAGATTACGCAAATGAGCCGCTGACGTCACTTTGTCTTCTTCTGCTTTGGGTTTACTGGCAGGCCGCAAACAACTTCACGGCGTATACTGCCACCCGGAGTCCCCGGCCGGAAGTCCCCGGAGTTGGGGACTGGCTTCAGTAGAAGCTGCTGGGACTGAAGCCTTCCGAGTAAATCGCCAGAACGCCGACACCTCCTCATCTCCACCGCTCCCATGTTTTATTTTGTGTTGCCATAAGTTAGTCTCTCTGCGTTTGTGCACTGGGCGAATGCTAATGCTAATAATGCTAATGCCAGGATAATAAAATGGCGGCTCTACAAAACATTTCAGAGTTGCACGGGGCGTGGTTTGCAATTCGCCCAGCCAATCAGAACTGGGGCACTTTTTTCCCCCAGGAAAGTACCATCTCTCAGCAGGCACTAAAAATGGGGGTAAAAGTTCCCGAGATTAAGTGCTCTTTTTGGTGTGAACGCGACATAAGGGGTACTAACGGAACTAAACGCGAAAAGTACGGTGAAAAGTACTCCGGTGTGAACGCGGCTATTGAGATCATAGATCTCTTTTTCAAGGGAGACCTGCAGTCGAATACACACTACCGCTGCCTGCTGGTAAGGACAGTTATTGTCACTCGTCGACTGAAGTATTTGCGGTGTGTTCGTAGGCGGGCAGCGTAGCGGGCGACATAGCCGACGCAGCCGACGCAGGCGACGAAGCTGACGTAAAAGTCGGGACGCCTTCGGTACGCGTTCTTTGATCTCAGGTGGGTGTGTAGCGGCCTTTAGTTTGGCCACTCATTTTTAATCACACACGTCTCCCCATCCCATTCAAATTCAAATTCTTGACTGGAAGAGCAGTGTAGCCTACATGTAAATGGGTGGCATAGCCTATATGCATTTGAAAATCAGCCAACGTGCTTTGTTTTTAATGTTCATCACTATAATAATAAGTACATTATTCAAAAGTTTACATTAACTTTGGATAATAACACTAAGAGTACTGATATGTCTACCATTTCTTTTATGAGTGTAATATCTGCATTTTCTCTTTTGGTTTGATTAGGACACATCCTGGGGATTGTTGACTATACTGTATGTTGAGAACTCTTTGTTTAAAATGAATTGGCCATCGGAATGTGTGGAGGAAGTCACATTCCACAATGGTCACATTCCACAGCTCTCCCCCCCCCCCCCCCCCCCTCCTGTGATCTCCCAACCCCCAGTCTGTAGGTTTGTGATTAGGACACATCCTGGGGATTGTGTTTACAAACATGTACCATACCGTTCACCATCTCCACCCCCCTACTGTATGTTGACTATACTGTATGTTGATTTTTGACTTTGTTTAGAGCAGTGAATTCTCTTCCTCTCTGCAGCAGAGAGCTAAGCGCTGTCAGACCAGACCTAACCCTAACCCTGAAAAGTATTATCATCTGAAATTAATCATTATGTTATTAGTATTAAATACATATAAGTATTTTTACAACTTGTATTTAGAAATACTCTGTTGTAATTATTGATGCATAAATGTGTTCATCCATTCAATGTGGCATCTGCTATAATGGGGTTAATGTATGATATTACTTAATAATACAATACACTATATAATATATGATATGATAATTACATTTTAATTTGATTCATTTCTTATTTCATAGTTTCTCATTATTATTATTTTTATCGCTGATCTTATTTTTGATTTTATTCATCTGTGTGAATCTGTGCTGTCCTGTTTTTCACTCTCACCCTGTTGCTGTTTGAACTACTGAATTTCCCCACGGGGATTAATAAAGGTCCATCTTATCTTATCTTATCTTATCTTATCTTAATGTATAAGTTGATTTACTTCGATCTACTGTACTTTGTAAAAACACCACAACAATATTACAAAAAATATACTGCATAAAGCAAACTATTGTAAAGGTAAAAGTATGAGCATAAAAAATAAAGAAGTGTAAACATTTACATTATTATGATTATTTAATATATAAAGACTATATATTATTGAATTACAATTAAGATAATAAGATTAGATATACTTTATTTGATCTAAAATATTGATGTTTTTTCGTTATAGCAGCTTGTGAAAACCATAACAAATAAGTGATTAAATGCTACAGTATTCAGCAACACAACTGCAGAGCTGCAATGCAAACAGAGGTCTACAACACCAAGTTGTCTTTGTGTATTTGTGAATGAAGCGCCATCTCATGGTTAAATCCTGTAATTGAACAAATGGGGACATTTGGCAACGCCCTCTAGCAATTTTGGCAACACCCCCAGCACTGGGATCCGCTGGGCTTTCGCCTGGGACACACCCATTGGAGTCCTATCTGGAGTGCTACATCTGTAATTTGAATGCAGTACACTTACTTGTAAAAGAGTACTAGTTTTTTTGTGCTAAAATCAAGTTCGGAATTATTCTCCCACCTCTGAATGCAAATTATCTTACTTTTGTTGTTTTGGAATATTCCCGACCAAACACTCGAAGGTATCATGCGAGTTATTTCAGTGTTTCCCCAGCAGGCGGCGGTAGATCACCACACACAACCCCCCCCCCCCCAGCCTCCGGGCTGAAAATTAAAGTGGGAGGTGAAGTGAACCAAACATTTACTCACGCCACTGCTCTTCATATTTCATCCAGAGGAGCGCATGGATCCGGGCTCAGGCACACTGCCCGCCGCTGTCCTGGATGCTGCACAGACAGGAGAGACAGGAGGCTCGAACTGCTGCATCCTCACTTTGAAGATATCGCACATAACAGTAATATCTGCGACGTTGACAGTGTGAACCAAGCAGCCAGAGGAGCAGCACAGGAGCTGTTGTTTCGCGTACAGTACCGGTGTAGACAGAGGAGATGGAGCGGTGGAAAGGCAGAGTGGCCCTGGTGACCGGAGCCTCGGTGGGCATCGGAGCGGCGGTGGCCCGGGCACTGGTCCAGCAAGGCATGAGGGTGGTCGGCTGTGCCAGGAATGTCGACAAAATAGAGGTAAGCATTTCATTTAATATCATTTAAAGCCGCCGGCGAATGGTCTATGCTACTCATGAAACAAGCTAGCAACAACAAACTAGCTAACTAACATTAACTGTTCACTAACATTAGCTTACAACTTCAGCTAGAAACCATTAGCCCTAAAGGTAAAGCACTATGGACGTGTTCTGACGTTAGGCAAGGCAGGCGTTAAAAATAACATGTCAGGTATTATGTTGCGTTAATGATAGACATGTAACGTTAACAAATTCCTTTCAAGATAAAGTACCCTATTAATCCTAACAGAATTACAAGGATAGCATATTTGAATGAATCACAAAACAACTATGGACTCTTTAAACGATCCCATCATATAAATCAGCTAAATCCCCATAGCTTTTTGTTATCGATTTCCCATATGAATATTACAGAGATATTAATGTACCCCGAATTTTAACTAAACAATGTGAAGGCAAATGTGATGCTCCTTAACTTGCTTATCTCCCACCACATTACAATGCAACGTTAACACTCTCCATTATTAACCCTTGCTGAATAGAATCCCTGGCTTTTGGTTGACCTTCTCCAGAAAGGTCAGAGGTCAGCAGGGATTCAGTATGATACTTCAGCTAGGGAGATACCTGATAACCACTGACCATTCTGTGGGACAGTAGCTGGTGGCTCACCCTGTCATCCTGCATCCACTGCCAGTGTGACAGTAACAAACTGTTAGTTCAGGAAGAATCAAATTACCTCACTGCAGTTTCCAAAGAGATGTCAGTGGAAGCCCATGGGTCTTCTGGAGGCTCAGGGTGTCCCCAGTGTTGTGGGACACTGTCATTAAAATGTTGACTAGTGCACTTAAGAATGTCTTTCCGGATTATAGTTTTCAGGGTCTAAACTGACTGCCTACCAAAAAAAAGTTCCGTTAAAAAAGACCCATGCCATATAAATAACAGTGTTATATGTACTCCATTCTAGGGCTAAACCATGTATTTATCATTTGTCAAAATACCATTCTGAAGAATAAATTGTGGTGATGCAGAAATGCCCTGGCCTGCAAATTGTATGCTATAGATCCAACAGAAAATAATCATGCAAAAATGATAAAATAATTTCCTTCAATTGCATGAATCATCTCACATTTTCAATACCAGTAAAAGTAACTGCAAATTAGTTAGTTTTTTTCCAAATCATTCAGCCCTACTTTGTACAGAAACATTCATTTCTGATGTGATTTGAAACAAAGGTTATTATATGAACCATATAACACTTAAATGTTGAGGTCAATGCTCAAATAGCTGCATAATACAGAACTTAAATCTCTCCCAGTATGATCAGTCAACACCCATTACAATTCCTGCTCTCATTGCAACAATGAAAGTAATTGGCGCCAGTGTTTAATATCTTTCAACTGCTTGTGAATTTTTCAAACGCATATTGAACCAGTTAATTTATAGCTGTAATTAAAAAAATATCACCTGAAAGGCAGATCCTCCTCCAGGGCAGGTGTCTGGGCCCCATCCCTCTTACTCTTGCCTAACTATAAGCCATAAGGCACTGCACCTTGCTTATCTTTCAGACAATAATTAAGCTTTAGTCCACACATGTCCAAGCCTACAGCACTGTGGTGGCCACCTTTTAGACAGCTAATGTATTTCCTTAAAGCATAAAACTGTAGCTTGACAGGCCTGTGGTTGTTGAATGTTAAAATGTTGTACTGTATTTTCATCTCACACAACATGTTTAACTACTTTAAATAATACATCACAGGCTATATTTTATGGTAGCAGTCATAAATTCCAATATTTTCTCACATCGAATGTAAAGATGACGCTATACAGTAGTGTGGCTGTTATACCCGTTTATGCTGTTGCTCTGTTTACAGTTTGAAGTAACATAGTTGGCAAAAGGAGCAACATCAGTTTCAGGAACTCTGATGGTGTTGTGTAAGCACGAATTACAAGCAGGCGAGTAACTCATTTCCAAGTTTCTCTTTCTAGTGTATTTAAGGAAAAAATTCTCATGATTCATTTAGATCTTGTTTTTTTTATCATGCACGAATGTTCACTACCTTGACACACACACACACCCATGCCCATACATGCATACAGTAATTGTAAATTGTGCAATAGATCGCCTCACTCCATTCATGCTCAGGTCACATGGCCTCTACTGTCAATAGTTAACTGCAGCAGCTTGCTTCAGCCCCTGTCTGCGACTTGTGCAAGACTGAAACAAGGTCACACCGTTTCACATCTTCATAGTACCTTTTTACATGATACAAACATCTGGCAGCATTGGTAACCATTCCTTATTATAGACTTACCAAAGCTTAGATTCATACATATTTGGCCACATTAGGGAATGATATCAGTGACAGGTTTCTATGTCTCCCATTCTGTGAAACATTTCATCACTTGTAGTTGTACAAGACCTCAGAGAGCTGTCTGTGTGAGTAGAGGGACAAAGCTCGTATTGTACTCTCTGCAATGTAAACTGGGTTCTTGCTGTAGCTGTGCCAAACCTGGCATGCTGCTAGTGGGGTGATGCAAGTGTCCATCACGAAGCGATTGTTCTTGACCTCTCTTTGGTGTTTATTTCTTAACTTTCACTGTCAATATTGTCCAACAGCAATTGTAACACCCAAAGAAGACTCGATAAAATGATAATGAAAGGGATATATTTATAGATTTGAGTTTTTTCTGTTCAAACGAATCACGTAGAAAGTGTAGAGTTGTGGCTGGCTGCAGTATTGTTTTGTTGTCTGTGAGACTATAGAGTTGGCAGGGGGGGGGGGCTAAAGGGAGAAGTGTGGTCACCATGGGCTCTGTACAGGAATGGAGAGGACGGGGACGCGGCCAAGTAGCAGCAGCACAGCTTCTCATTAGCTCTTGTGAAACCGTTAAAGAGTGGAAGTGGAAGAAGCTTTTATTTCGCTGGAAGATAAATTCTCTTCACACAATGTATTCTCAATGGTTATATAAAGGTTTAGAAGTGGCCTCTGAACATAGGACAGTGCTTTATAAAACTGTGCCATTGAGAGCCGTGTGTATGCACATTTTCTTTACAAGAAACAGGCAATGCAGAATTTGAATTTAGTGGTAAAACCAGAGTCAGAAATGCTTAATTTCTTCCACGGTTGGAAGTTGTATATTATAAATATTACAATATACAGTATACACAGTAGTCTTTGGCGCTAATACTATTGGCAAAAAGCAGATGATTAAAAAGTACAGTGTAATACAGTAACAATGCCAAGTGGTGCTCTCCAAAGTGCTGTGAGTAATGCAGTTAAGTCATTAATGCAGAGTATTGCACAGTTGAATAATTGCTTAAGTTATGTAGGCAAATATCATCCATCACCGGCAAACAGAGGAAGAGAATAATATAACTATATGGATGCAGGTTTTATTAATTCTGCCATATAATTTGGATCTTATATTCTGTTTATCTGACTCTGTAAAAGAGGACATCTAGTTACTGGCTGATTATGTTTTTTTTATCTCGGAGCAGAACGCCCACATAGCCCATATGTTGGGTTTATTATATCTGCTTACCTGGCACAAGGTGATGCAGGAGTAAATACACCGTTATGGGAATATAACTCCAGTTGATGATTGCCACAACCTATTAAATGTTCCCTCATTTAAAACACAAATATAAGATTTAAGACTTCTCTTCATTTGTTTTCTTTTACCAAATTTGGTAGAGAAGTGACATAATGCTGTTATGAATTTAGATACAAGGGATTTAATATGTGTTCTTTTCACTTGAGTTCACAAATGACACTTGTTGTGTTATTGAAATGTATAAAAGCATTTTCTGTGTTAATCTTCCATAAGCTGGTCTGATACGTTTCATTTAGCATATAGACCTTAGAAGATATCTGTAAATTGCTTGCTCTTTTATGTTTTTCCATTTTATGCAGGTCAGGGCTGGTGTACAGATTAGTGTTAGTGCTGCTCTGGGGGGGGGGGGGGGGAAGAAGAGGGGGGAAGAGGCCGAGGTGGGGATGGGGTTGGGTTTGTCACATAATCAATCCAATTCAATGGTTGCCTATGCACTCAATGATTCCTGGAATGTACGGTTTGAGTCCAACAGTATTCAGGCTGGAAATAAAATCCTGATTCCTCATTGTTCACTGGAGATCAATAAAATGGTTACCTCCAGTCTCTGCATGGCTTTTTTCTGAACGATCCAATGCATTAATTTGAAATCTATTCAGTACAGGACAGATTACTTTTTTGTCCATGTTGCAAGTTGTCATATTTGATTCAGCTCAGGCTTAATGCAGAAGGGCCATCTGCTCCTTTGTCATAAATACATATATTTGTATTTTAAGACAATTGTTAACTGCTAAAGGGAAACTGACATGCTTTTGAGGCAACTTACAATAGAGGCATCCATCAACATTCAAAGCTTTAGCTACTTCATTTTTAGATGAGATACATTTAGAAAACATAAATTGTGGGGTTTTCAGATGTATTGTTGGCATAACAGTTTGCAAAGTGTTCTGCTTAAATTATGTCCAAAAAAGATTATTAATTATGGATAAGAAAACTCAAACCCGGAGTGATACATGTAGACAGATTTTTTTTTTTTTTTTTTTTTTTTTTTTTTTTCAAATCTTGACAGTCGATGCAAATGTCTTTTTGAGACAGTAACATTTGAATACATTGATTATATTCAGTTTCAGTTTTGTACCTTTTTTTATTTTTACTGGCTTATATCAAACAGTCATTGGTTGCCTGTTACTGCAGCCTCTCCACTTTTTGTTTTGGCTTGCCTAAGCATCTTTTATGTAAGCGAGTGAATTCTAAATTAAAACTTGAAGCCCTTGGCACGGCAGGGGAGCCCGGAGGTTAATTTAGGACCTTGGCTGACCAACTTTGATTTGGTGCCCAATTCGGAGGAAGGTAAAAGGTGCTCAGTCATGCTTCAAACGCTGAGGTGACACAATAAAAGGCAATCAGTTTCTCTCTGTCTGCAAATCTGACACTGTCTCACCCTTATCT